TAGTACACTCCGTCTTGCTTTTCCTGCCACAATGAATCCAGTACCATTTCTTCCCTTCTTGACCTTCTCACCACTAAACATCATCGTATAATGCTTCTTATCGATTCTGCCTTCTCCGCTCCATCGAATTTCTTGTAAAGCCACAACGTCTATTTTATACTTTAATATCTGCTCTGCTAGCTCTACCATCTTTCCAGGCTGGAGCATTGTACGGACATTCCATGTAGCAACATTTAAATCCAAATCCGAGTTCCTTTGTCTTTTGCCTTTATTTCCATCCAGCTTGCTATTTATAGGTTTCATTACGGGTTTGTTTTTTACAAGGTTGGGTTGTTGGCCCCACGCCCAACCAGGACCCCCAGAGGACCAGGTCATTAGATTTTGGGGTTTCCGTCCCCTAGTCTGGTTGCTTTCACCATAGCTTAGAGTCCAGACCACCCCTGGTTTATTTTCGGAGTACCTTCACCTAGCCTTTGAGGTTCTCCTCCCAAACCGTACAAGGCAGTACAGGGCAGTGCATATTTAGTAGCAGCACTTACTCGCCACGTCACAGCATCATCATTGGATGTGGTATTTTAATGCACCTAACCTTGCCAATGGCCAGACGCCCACTCCTGCTGATGCTGTCCCCCCGTGGTCCAGGACTGCTTATTTGGTGACCCTTATTCGCAGCTAACCTGCATATCTGCAGGCCGTTCGTTCCACTATCCGCCACCTGTGGACCCGCCCAGTAGCCGGGGGAAGCCCTGGGAATATTTAACTTATGTAATTACCAATTGCTTCACTGCAAACTAGACAAAATTTACTTTAAATGAAAATAAAATTTGTCATTGTTAAAACCATTTAAAGAGAAGCTTTATTTTTACTAAACTAAGCTAGTACTACAGATATCCCCCTTTTTGAAAAACTTGCTCATGTAATAAGCTTTAAGTACATATTAATCAAGTTGATGTTTATTTGGCACAAACTTGAGATTCTTCTTAAGTCGTATGAAAAAATTATGTGATATTTTATCCAGCAACCTAAAAGTACCCATGTTTCTTTAGTTATCGGTTCCTATTAAAAAAAAACACATGTCTTACTTAAGAAAACACAAAACTTGGATTTCTTACTTTTCTACTAAAAATTGGCACATTATTTTTATGAACTTTTTTGTAGCACTTGAGGTCTGCTATGTATCACTCCTATAAAATTTCCCTCCACTTAAGAGAAACCCTGTATATTACATATATAAGTATGTAAAAGTAAAAAACTGATTACATTATATCCACGTGTATATTATATTTATTATTCACTTTTTACATTATAAAAAAAGGAACTGAAAGCTTTATTTTTTATCATTATTGAATGAATGTTTTACTTGATTTGCAAAAAAAAAAAAATAATAATAAATAAATAAAGTTAAAGCTTCTATCAGTTAATATTAGAGAGAGTGGAAACAGTTTTACTTTGGTCACTTAATTGTTAACCTTAGAGGACCATAATGTCGAAGATAAATGTATATTCTATAGAGAAAAAGTAGAAATATGTAACTAATTTTTCCTGTTTTATTTATCGTTATTATTTTTTCTTATGGAAAGCTAAAAAGATATGCAGGTCTTTTTTAATTTCAATCCTTTTTTGTTCAACATCTCTAAAATATTTCCTAACTTCCTGATCAGTTTTCTGACCTCAACTAACCAAACCGTATTTATCCTGGGGAAGAATAAGTGTCGAAAGCCTGGGCAATTTTATCGTCTGCTTTTAAAGGTTTCATAACCAAATTTGGCTATCATATGAAAAAGTTTAAAAAACGTGTTTTTATTTTTTAAATTCTATTTAAACCTTTGAGCTTTATTTTATAAAAAGAAATAATTGTTTTAATTTAAAAAACTTATTATTTCTAATAAATGTTATTGTATTAATAATATATTTTTTTGAGCTCTGGAATATTGTAAAAGAAGTTTTTAAAATGAATTTATCTTTTTATTGATTTTTTTTCATTTAGGATGTCTGAACTTGAAAATATGATCTGTGGCTTGCAATCTGACTTAGATCAAAAGCATTGTGTAATCCAATCTCTCCAAATAGAAAATGAGCAACTGCAGGTATTGTTAATACATATATCTTAGACAATTTTTAGAATTTATTGCTAATATATGACATAATTTCGATATAAGCTGGTGGCTAAAAAAAACGGCACACCTTAAATCTCACACTAAAACCGCAGTTTAAAGAAATATTTTTGAGCCTGAAAAGTAATAACAGATAGATATATTAAAGGTCAAAGGGGATTACAATGTTGTAATTCTATGGAGAAAATCTCATGATTCTCTTTAGGATTTACGATAAAAGTATTTAAAAAACAGGTAGACTTCATATCAGTTTGTCTCCAGTTGCCTGTTCAATTGCATTGGATTTGCTTTTGTGTTTTTTTTTTTTAAATTATTTCAAGAGTTTAAAATGGATTTGGATCTTATGGCAGGCGCTCAGATTACTGTGTTAATTGCAAACGGCCGAAGGTAGCGATACACTGCCTGAGTCCAGGGGTAGCCTGAAACAACAGTTTGGCGGGCAGCCCAGAAGTATCAGGAGACAGGGAACTCTGCCAGGAGGCTGAGATCAGGCCATCCAAGAGTGATAGGTCCAGCTGATAACTGCTTCATTGCTATGCAGTCCCTCAGAAACCGCTACAGATTTCAGTTGAGATTTCTCATTGGTTGCGTATTCCTGAGGCTATGAATGTCAGTGCGCACACAGTAAGGAGAAGATTTGCTGAATTCAACCTGCATGCTGGCTTTCCTGCTTGTGGCTCTCTACTCACCGCAGCACACCGAGAAGCTCGCCTTCACTTTTGTCGTGAATAGAAGATGATTTCCCCTCTGTTCTGTTTTTTGACGAGTCCAGGTATAGCCTTTATGGTGCAGACGGATGAGTTCTAATGTGAAGAAGACCAAGTAAGCAATTAGTTCAGTGCAATGTAGCGGGAGGAGGGTCGGTGAGGGTTTGGATGCCCTATGTTTAGAGTCATGTTTAGGCCTCCATTTGTTCCGAAGGCTGACACTCAATGCACACTCTTACATCATTGACATCCTGAAGAATATGTGGTACCTTTTAGCCCATTTATCGCCCTGTGTTTTCTTTTTATGCCGGATAATGCTCGCCCACACATCGAAAATTTTGAACGGGACTATCTTTACGAGATTAATGTCCACACCTTGGAGTAGCTAGCTCACAGCCTGAGCTTCAATCCTATAACGCCTCTTTGGGACCAGCTTAGGACATCCATTCGTCGACAATATAACCCTCCAAGTATGTTAAATGTATCAGATTCAAGATTGTGTAACCACCTTATTTGTAGTATACCTACGAGAGTACAGGCCGTTATTCAAGAAAAGGGAGGCAACATGAGGTACTAGAGACTCATATTTCATATTTAAAAAAGAATTAGATGCGTTTTATTCTTGTTTGAAAGAGTGTTCATTTGCTTTATTTTACATTTAAGATTTGTCTAAATGAATTTTCCTAGTTTTCCCCATATTTGTGGTCTTTTACAAGCAGAATATGTCACACTATATTGAGGTTAAGAAAATTGCAATTTTTTTTTTCTGTTGGGTAAGAAATAACAACAAAATTAAATGTGTGCCGGTTTTTTTGGCCACTAAAAAAACTGGCCAATATATATATATATATATATATATATATATATATATATATATATATATATATATATATATATATATATATATATATATATAAACTTTTTTTTCTAAATAAATTTTATTTATCAACTGCTATAAATATATTTATTAACTGCATTTAGATGTTATTCATTTTAAATTAAATAATTAACTAGTAGGCCTATGCGAAAAAGTCGCACAGCTTATTGTTAAATGATCAAATGCCAAATTAATAAGAAAATAAAATAATGCAACGTATTATAAGATAAAGAAATCAATTGTTATTTTATCGGTAAATATAATCGAAAAAGGAAACAAAAATTAATTTATAACTTCTTTGCTAAAAATTGTCTGTTTCGATGATTTTTTTTTTTCTTTTGTAGAGCATAACAACAAGGGAAAAGTGTGTACTTTCTTAGTTATTCGCAAATAAAATTTGTTTTCTTTCATAACTTGTTTGCCTGAATTTTCGGGGTGATTGGACAATTTGCACGCCTGAAAGAGAAGGAAGCCTTCAAAATTGGTGGCTCAATCTTGGAATTTTGTGAAGAATTAACGATGAAACGGCTTGGCGATCAAAAATACCATCGATTAATAATATAAACTCATCCTCTCTCGATCATAGAGGCCTCAAGTCAACGAAATGAGACATGTATTCAATGACAGTACTACAATTAACGTAAGGTTGCATGGATGCGAACTCTATGCCATGCTTTATCTCGAAAGTAGTAGGTTTTTGGGCTTAAAAACGCAGGGCCCGATAATTACAAAGGAACTATCCAGGTATTGCTGTACACATCAAAATCTTCAAAGTCCAATTTGTCCCGTATCGATCTACAGACTTACTACCGTTCCAGTATTGAAGCCAAGCAAAATGTTTGTTTCGACTTTATTTATATTAGAATGAAAAACAAAAGCGGAGAGTACGATTAGCTAACCCCCTGTGAAATTCTGAATCCAACGGTACCCCATTCATGGTATTTTAGCATGACAGGAGCTTATATTTGGTACAGAACCGATTTCGAGCCTTACTATGTTAATATATGTGCGGATAATTTAATAATTTAAATTAAATTAAAATGGTAAAATTTAAGCTGAAATCTTAAGTATTAAATGTACCCTGTGATTTAACCCTTATTAAATTTGGTTATTTATGCCTAGTGTCACCCCTCAGCAATTGCTCGAGGGCGCCAACCTAAAGGTGTGTTTCCACTAGTTAAGAATCAAAAATAAATACATAAAAAGTATATGAGAATAAATAATTTTAGTCTATTAAGAAAGCCAGCTTAAGAAATAAATTACATTTTTTGGATGGAGATCACGTCATTGCCCGGGGGCGCCAAATGTCTTGGCGACACTGCCTAGTTTATAGACAACCCATGTGTTTCTAATTTGCAGTATAACTAAACTGCTGGACAAAATAATACATCACCTCAAAATTTGTTTGTTTATACTATTTATAGTAATTTAATTTAAACTGCATTTTATCAAATAAATAAGCATTAGTAAAAAAAGACATTCATTTATCAAAATTATTGTTTAAAATTTAATGTACAATAAATAAAAAAGAAAAATGCTACAATTTTTATTTATAACTTATAACCTTAATCGCTCGTGCTACTGCCTGTTAAATGATTTATAACAATCATTTGCCTTCCTATGCCCTCAAAGAAATTATTAACTAACTAATACACATATTTTGGCTGAATATTCAACATCAACTGTTACCAACTCCAAGGGATACATTTCTGGTACCATATATAGAGTGCCTGATAGTTCCCGAAAATGATATGCTGGATTAAAGTTAACATTTTTCTGTGGCCACTTCAGGAATATGATACAATCCTCCTATAAGTACTAACTACACTCTCAGTTGTGTGCGGTTGGGTATTTTTCTGGTTCAACATAGAAATTTTTCCAATTTAGGGCAAAAATGGCACTCAAAAATATTCCTCTTAGTACTCCACGTCTTACATTCTAAAGTATGAACCTATCTGTTTAAAGTAACATAGAGCCTATTGATCATTCTTGGGGGTGGGGTGGCCAAATGGGCTAAAGCGTGTGCACAGCACTGCGAGTTGCCCGGCAACCAGATATATGAAGTTTTGAGAGACAAGAAAAGTACGAGTTCGCGTCCCGGTACCAGAGGGGATTTTAAATTCCCAGCCCTCACCCTCCTGTGCCCGGGAAGATCCCGTATAGCCTAAACGGCGAGGTAGGGAAGCACAAAAAAAAAAAAAAAGAGCCTATTGATCAGACATCCTAGCACTAGCTGTGTACATTAAAACAGATTAAGAGTGCCTATGGAATAGTATTAACTAACACCTGGATTTAAATACATTAAAAACAATTGAAATATGCCATCAAAAGTATCGTAAGATGCAACCGAATAATAGAAGAATGTAATGAAAATAAAATGTTGAGCTATAAAAATATTTTTTAAATATATATTTCACTATAAATGAATATCACTTTTTATGTTTTTCATGTTCATATTATTTTATTTTAAGTTGTAGTAGCGACTTTTCTTATAAGATCTGCAAGACGGGTTTAGTTTTAGTTTTTCTTAGTTAAATGATAATCCTGATGCAAAAATATTATATTTTTTTTCTTTTTGTCAGGAGAGAAAGTAGTTGTTTTAATATAAAGATTTTTTTTTTTTAGTTTTGATTCCTCTTAATTTATTCTATGACTTTTATAGTAGTTATAATAAGTTTTTTTTTTAGCACTTTTATTTGTTAATCCGCACCTGTCAATTACAACCATTGACATTCAGCAGAGGAGAGGAGCTGGCATAATCATAAGAAATAAATAAATAAAAAAGGCTTGATAGGCATGAGGAAAAGTAATACTAGCGGCATCCCTTCCATGGCTTATAATAAGGTTTAACTTTTAAAACTGCCATTCGCCATTTCTCCATGATATTCCCCTTTGTTTAATACCTCATTCATCAAAATGCATTGCTCTTGAGAGCCAAAAAAGCGATCTATACTTCCGTATTGTAATGTTTACTAGTGTTGATTCGAAATGTAAAAATATAATATTGCTTAGTATTTAAATATTTTCTATATCTCCTAAAATATGATTTGATTAAAATAGAATATGTAGATAAGATTTTCATTGTATTCTTATTGTAGTTGAAAATTCATAAATAAAATCTTTTTTTTTTTTTTTCAGGTTGGAACCATTGATACTAATAGAAGGTAAATCCATCACTGCTTTTATTATGAAATAAAGTTAAAGTATTCAATATAAAGTTTAATCTAGCATTGACAACCTTCTTTGATAGGTAGGGTTAGACCAATCCGGTTTTCAGTTGGAATGAAATAGCTTGGTCTGTTCCACTAATGGAATTCTTTCATGTTCTCATTTGTTTTCATTGTTGCTCCAACTAATAATTGGAACCAGACAGGTCCATATTCACTAACTAACATTTCAAATGGCACAGCTCTTTCTATTAGCCCCTTAATTCCTCTTTGTGTGGTTTTACCAAAGACACACTGTACTTGTATTTGAAGTCATTTTTGTCTAGTTTACTCTGAAGCAATTGTTAATTCCCCACATTACTTTTTTTTAGTCATAATTTCCCATTCAACAAAAAATGCAACATTAAAAAATATAAGGCAAGTATATTGCTTGTAAATATATTGTTTTTCTGCCGAAAATTGGATCCTGGCTTATATAAACTATATAAGTGGCTTCATATCAAAGAAGAATATCTGTCAGTTTCTGATGATTTTACTTCAGAATGTTCATACAAGTCAGATTATGAAAAAAATCATTAGAATTGGTTTAAATTGAAGCTATATTACAGGAAATTGTCTTTTTCCTAACTTTTTAAAAATAATAGATGTCCATCTTTGATATTACAGTCATATGTCATATACACAGCATGAATCAGGCGAAACTCCTCTAGTGGATTGCATACAGGAAAAAAAAACTTATATGTTTTTATTCTATTTTAATTTGTTTAAATTTTATTGATTCATTACAAATATAAAAAAATCACAATTCAACAATATTTCATAAATATTGTTGAGAGTAACAGTAACCCTCCTGATTGTTTCATATGTTCCTTTAATGACATCTGCAGCATTAAATTATTAAATGTATTAAATTTGTGCATCCCAGTGTTTACTTTTATATTGTATATTTCATCTTTGAACCAGCCCCATAAACAATAATCTAGTACTGTGAGGACTGGAGATATCTGATCTATCCAATGATCTGAAAATCTTTCATCCAAATGTTGTTTCATCTGACAATTGTTAAAATCTAAGTAGTGTGATTTCCTGTGAGACGATTCTCTAAAATGGGTTATTAACAAATTGTAACTTACAAATGACTATGACAATAAACTTAATTTATTGTAAGTTGTTTTCTATCTGTTTTGAACTAAATTATAATGCTATTACCAAAATACTAATACGTGCATAAAATATTATTTATTTTTGAAATTTTGTTTATTTGTAATTAGCCAATAGAATTGAAACAAATGAAAATTGGATAATACATGAATTTAAAAAATATATATATATTTATGTAAACTTGTAATTAAAAAAAAAAAATACAGTTTTATTAGTGTTTATTTATTCTCACAATTTATTGTAATTTTGAATGATTACATTTTTCATAAATAAACTATTAATCAATGTAAGCAATTTGTATTTATCCGAGGGCTCAGTGTTGAATGGTTCTTCTACAATTGATCCTATTATATTTTATTTGGTTAATACATGTAAATTCAATAAAATGAAATTGTTCCCAGTTTTGCTTGTGGTTGGTTGATTGTATTTTTGCAATAATTTTTTCTTTGTCAGCAATATATCTATTAATGCTCTGGCTGGTGGTCTGCCAAGAGATTAGCTGGTGGCATGCCCAGTGAGGGGTAACTTAGAAATCAAGTGACAAGTTCTTTGATTGGATGCCAGCTATAAACTGATGCTAAGGCATGGGTTGTCCTAACTAATTCCTCTTACATCTGTAGTATTTTAATGGTATATCAGGGGTGTCCAAACTTTTTGGTCTGTGGGTGACATAGAGAACTAAGCCCTGCGGGCCATATAGAGCCTTCACTAAGTCCTCTGGACCACGGCTTATGATAAATAAATGACTCTTCAGCTGTAAACTGAGCTTTCTTAGAGAAACAACTCGTATAATATAGAAAACTCCCGTTTCAGTAATTTATTTATTTCATATCTTTTAAATAGTTTTAAAATTTTATCATGTAATGAAACAAATTTTCACGAGCCGGGTTGGAGGTGTTTGCGGACTGTAGTTTGGAGACCTCTGGTACAGATCAACACTCAGATGAAGCTTCACTTAATGTATAAACCTCCATAGTTGACCTTTCTTCTTATGGTACCTGTGGAAAATTTACTTGGTCAAATTTTCTTTGTCATTTTAATGTGAACTTTTAATTTTTCATTGATTTAAATGTTCCTTTTTTTTTTTTTTTTTGTTTCACTAGTTTTCACTCTTTAGTCAAAGTTGTTCCATTTCTATGGTAACTTTGTTAGTTCTGGTTTTTGTTTCTTTTATTAACATGTAAACGCTTACTTGAGTGCCAAATTTTCCCATATGAAAAAATATGGGTACATCAATACTATTAGTTTGTGATAGCTGAAAGACCTTTCGTACGTGATTAATTCACAATTCAGTTCAAAGAAGAAAAAAAAAAGTGGTAAATTTGGTCCAATTGATGGCGCATACAAAGAAATTTAATATATATTTGTTAACATTTTGAAAGCAAAGTTTTGTTACAATTCACTTTTTTATTGGGGGGAGGGGAGACAGAAAATTATATTTATAATTTGGACCCTGGACAAATATATTTTAGAGAATGAAGAGAAGAATAGTTGGGGTGGTCAGTCAAAAAAGAAGGCAAAAATAAATGATAATATTTATTTTTACATATGCCGACATTTCGACCTGAAGTTCAGGCCTTCATCAGGGCTAAGAAAATAACCAGATAACAAGGTATGAGAAACATAAGTAGTGATGGTAAAAAAAAAAAAATAAAAAATTATAATAAAAAAAAAAATATAAAGTAAAATGAAATTGTTAGAATAATGACAATAGTAAGAACTAAGAGATAAATAATAATAACCGTTACAAAGTGTGGAATGATGAAGTAGGCATAATCAAAAAGGGTGGCATAAGTGTTAAAATGGGAACTTAGAATAAAATGTAAAATATAAAAAAGAAATATGAAGTTATATAAGAAATGAAAATAAATAGTAAAATTAAGACATTGAGAATGGAGTAGTTAGATAGAAAATTGAGATATTGTAAGGTCTATCAAGATGTACAGACAATGTCTAATATAATAAAGAGTTAAAAACAGAGAAAAGGAATGAAAGGAAGGAGGGAAGAAATTGAGAAAGCTGAAATAAGAAATAAATAAAAGAAGGCCTGAACTTCAGGTCGAAACGTCGGCATATGTAAAAAATAAATATTATAATTTATTTTTTGCCTTCCTTTTTGACTGAGCACCCCAACTATTCTTCTCTTCATTATCCACGACAGTCAACCAATTACCAATTATGTAAAAATAAATATTATCATTTATTTTTGCCTTCTTTTTTGACTGACCACCCCAATTATTATTTTAGAGAATATATTTTTATTAACTCCTTAATTTTTTATTCAGTCATTCTAATTAAAATCAGTGCATGTTAAAAACTATGTTTTAGTTTGAATAAAAATAGCAAAGTTTTATTTTTAGATCTGAAGAAATCAGTAATCAGTTAAATGTTCTTAAAGCAGAGCTTAAAGAAAAAAATGCTCTTTTGGACAAATTTAATAGTATGGCTTACACTCCTGCTGAGGTAAGTATTTTATTTAGTTATGTCATGTGTATTAGTTTCATCTTCTACTTTCATTAATTGACCGATCTCTTCTTATTTCTTCATTTATTAATTTCCTTATACTGTTAAATAATTTATTTTTACTCAGCTAATTGTGTAGCATAGTCAAGTTTCAATCCTTTCTAAGCTAATAGGCTACACAATTATGTTGGTAAGACACAAGTGAAGAACCTGTCAGATTAAACCTCATCGTTGAGATATGCAGGTGGCTGAGGCAAACCTACTGGTGCTTTCATGATTTCAACATATATTTGTCAGTTTTCTTGATGATATTTTTTCCCTTTCTATTACTTAACTTTTTTTAATACTAATGATGTAAATTTTGAAAAAAATATCTCAATATATATCATATCGATATTTTTCAAATATATCAGAATATTAATTTGATATATTGAAAAAATCTTTCATTTCAAAATATAACATTAAATGATAAATATACAGGGTGTCTTAGTTCTTAATGGCCAAACTCTGAGGATTGATTCTAGACAAAATTTCCAACAAAAAAGTTGATCTGATGCATGAGCCGATTCCGAACAGAAAAGGAGTTAAGACCAATTTTGTGTCTTCCTTAAGGTGGTCACGTTTTTTACTGAATAAGAAGAAATTGCTCAAAAACTATTCAAGATAATTAAATTCTCAACACACTGTCGTAAAGTAAATAAAGAACAGTGATTAACTTTACTAAGGTCAACGATAAAATGGACTTTCAGGAGGTCTAATACGACTGCTGTACCGCTGTTGTTATAGAACCCACCCACTACCAGCATTATTCTGTATTCCCAATTCGTACTCAGTAATACAGTGGTCATATTAGATCTCCTGAAAGTCCCTTATCATTGACATTAGTAAATTCAAATAATGTTTCCTTAAAGAAAATTGTATCTACTTTATGATGGAGTGCTTAGAATTTAATTATCTTGAATAGTTTTTGAGCAATTTCTTCTTATTCAATAAAAGATGTGACCATCTTAAGAAAGATACAAAATTAGTCATATCTCCTTTTCCGTTCGGAATTGGCCCATGCATCAAATGAACTTTTTTATTGGAAATTGTTTCTAGAATCACCTCCCAGAGTTAGACCATTAAGAACTGAAACACTCTGCATAAGAATAAAAAAATGGAGTTTTAAAAAACAAATAAAAATTGCAAAGCTTAAATATAGATCAATACTTAAAATTAAGTAATAATTAAAGGGATCGGATTAAATGTAAAATAACACTATAAAAAATATATATATATTTATTTTTTGAATATAGAAAAATTCATTACTAAAACTAGTTAGCGCATGCGAATAATTCACAAAGTATAATATTGGTCAGTGAACAAATGATTATATATTATGGAAATAAGTAAATAAAATATATTTTATATTATGAGAGGAAGATATTCATTTTATTTTTCTTGCTCATTTACGATGGCTCATTATTGAAAATAACAAGCTAAAATATGTAAACTATATTGAATTATCTGCAAATAAAGTGTTATTTTCTTACTAATAACTTTTTCTGAGGAATGTCCTTATCATAACAAAAAAAAAAAAAATTAAAAAAATATATATATATATATATATTTAAAAAGATAGGAACTGTGATACTGCTCTGGTTCTCATTGACGTCCAATCCCTGACGTTTAAAATTATATCTACTTCTTTCGTTTAGTAGTGCATTTTCCCTTGACAAAACTTTACTTCAAAAATGGCTTTTCCTGTAGATTTTATTTTCAACTGACAAATCATGGATCTTTAAGTATAGGCAATTATTTGACTAATAGAAATTGTGACAAAATCTATAGTGGCTCTTTTTAACTTTTTTTTTTTTTGTAGTGTAAAATATAAATTTCTCAACAATTTCTATAGTTGGAACAGAATTTCCCAAAAAATTCAATAAATGGGAATATTTTTCCTGACAATTTCAATAGTAGGAACAAAATTTTCAGAACATTAATTGAAAAATTTACAATTTATTTATTTATTACAGAAATATTTCAATTTTCTCAACTATTTTGGATTTCAACTTTACTCTTAACTGTTGTAAATAATGGCACTTAACCACGTTATTTTTTTTTCTAACTAACTTAATATAGATAAAATCCCAATATTTTAATTTCCAATTTGTTGGTGTTTGCTTTTAATTTAGTTGCTCTTTGAATAAAACGTTCTACAAGATTCAAAAGATTATGATGAATCAATATGGCTCTGTTTGATATTATTTTTCTAAAACTTATTTTCTTGTTTAAAAGATTGTAATATGCTGGTTATCCCAAATTGTTGACTTTTTATAGTTATCACAAAACAAAACATCACCATCTCTGAAAAGTTTCTTTGAGAGATTCGCGAATTTATTTTAACATTAGGGATTTAGAAGTTAATTAGACTTATGGAATTTTGCAGATTAAACAAAATAAATCCACTAGGCCAAGGACTGACATAGAATATAATATTTTGTTATGAGAAAATTGGTTGGGGATTCTACTTCAGGACTTTATATTAAATTTAATTAGATACAGATTCTGGCTCAGCCACATGAGGTGCTTTCCTACCACAAAATTCATTGAATTTCTTTTCTATTTGTAAGGATAATTTATTTCTATTTATTCCCAATTTTTTTTTAATATGAATTTTCTTTACTGACTATATATGGACGATAATTTTTAGATATATTCCAAATATGTAAAAATATTTAATATCCTCTAATTGTATAAAATGTAAATAAAGTGTTAAAGGATTGTGTATGAGGCTTCGAAATGAATATGTAAAAATCTGATCCTTACTTATTACTTAGAATTATAGAAAAATAGATTAAATTTTTCAACATAAAAAAAATATATGGTAATCATAATTGAATGGATAATGAGAACCTATAAAAAGTATTTCCATCTTTATAAACCAATATATATATAGGAATAGAAGAGGAAGCAAGATTGGAAACAAGAGGGTTCGGATGGTTCATAAGTTTATTATGGAAGAATAGGTATCTGGAGTGGGCTAAATCAGAAACATATGGTACATTAAGGTCGTTATGGATGATTTTATTTGTGACAAAGTAAGGTGCATTGATGAGTTTACGAAGGATTTTGGATTGTGAGGATTGAATACGAGAGAAATTTTATGGTTTAGTAGAGCCCCTAAGCTCGATTCCATAAGTCCAAATAGGCCTTATTATAGTCACATATATGAGTCTTTTTTAAGTAATTGGAAGTTTAGAGCGTCTGTCTAGTAAGTGCTGGAGTAGTCGAAAACCGAGCGGTTTCTTGTCGTTTCAGTCTGGTATGAGGATTCCAAGTGAGTCGTTTGTCTAGGTGGAGTCCTAGGTATTGGATTTGTTCAACAGGAATAAGTTGGGTATTGTTAAAGGATACAGTAGGGCAGAGAAGTTTATTTTAATCCTCCAGTTTTGGCACCATTCTTCAAGACTTGTGATGTGTGATTGGAGAGTTTGGGATGCAATTGATGGATCATTGTTAACTGATAAGATACACGTGTCATCGGCGTAGGTGATTATGACAGTATTGGAATGTCAGCTGTATAAACTGTATGAAGGATAGGACCTAGGATACTGCCTTGAGGAACACCAGCAAACTGAAAAAAAAGAGATGAATAGGTATTCTTGTGATTTATTTTGAAGTATCTATCACTAAGGTAGGAACGGGTAATGAGAAAGTATGTAGGTGGTAAGAATTTACGGAGATTGTACATCAGTCCTGGATGCCAGATTCTATCAAACGCCTGTTCAACGTCGAGAAAGGCTCCTGTGCAATACATCCCGCGCCCCAATGCAGAGAAAACTACGCCTACCACACGATGACATTGCTGAATAGTGGAGTGAGATGTATAGAATCCAAATTGGTTATCTGAGATTATGTCATTAGAATCTAGGATGAGATATAGCCGTTTTAAGATGAGTTTTTCTAGGATTTTGCCCATAATGGGTAAAGGAGAGATAGGACGGTAAGAGGATGGGTATTCTGGCGGGTTTGTAGGTTTAGATATCATTTTGATAATGGATAGTTTCCAAGGGTCAGGAAAATATGTGGTTCGGAGTACAGCATTATATATATGTAGGTGAGGAATAATAGGGCTTGCTGAGGAAGCAGTTTCAGAATCTGGGATGTGATTAGGTCATCGTCAAGAGTTTTGCGATGAGGTGTTCTGTTTATGATATTGGATATTTCTGAAGGATGAAATGCTTTAGGTGGAAGAGTCAATTGGAGTGGGATATCCAGTTCTGCTTCAATACACTCAAGGTGGATTGGATTTAGGATATCTGAGTGTGGATTAAATGTTTTGGAGAGGTGCTAAGCAAATATTTGAGATTTTTCTTTGTCAGATCTGGACCAGATTTGGGTTTCAGTAATAAATGGGTGGCTAAAATCTTTGAATTTTAAGAGCTTTTTAGTGGTCAACGATAGCGATTTATCAGTAGTTGTAAGATTTTTTGTTAAGTTAAGTCAATTTTGTGTTTTATATTTTCTAATTTCAGCTTTTAGTTGGTTAGTTAACTTATATGTAGTTTTATTAACTTCGCTAAGCCTTAATATTGATAAAATTTAATTTCAAAGAGGTTTAACTAATTATATTTTGTTTTTTTTTATATTGAAATGACCTCTGGATAACATTTCAGCTTGAATGCTTGGCGAGTTATCACTTAAACAACATCTTAATGTTGAAAGATGATTTAATTGAACAACTTTCTGATGCGGATAAGGTAAAAAGTATATATGTTAAAGGAAAGCACAATCAAAGTGTTCAAATTAAGTAATTTTTATTGCGAAAAGTCCACCTTAAGTTTGTCCTGTTTTATTTGGAATATAGATATAATTATTATTATCTACTAAAAATGTATTAATATAATCTACAGCTTATTTATATGCATCATTAAATAAATGCAATATATAAATCTTTATTTAATTAATTTGTGCAGAAAAAATGATACTATAGTTGGTTGGAAGTGGTTCAGTCTGAGTTTATATTCCTTTCTGTGTGCCCTTGTTTTTAATGATATTCTTTGTATATTTTTTGATAGTCAGGGAAATCATTATAAATTTTCTTATTATCGTTAAAAGGCTCAGCCCAGTAACAATCCATAATAAATTTATGTGAAATTGAGTTTTTGAGTGAATGTACTTTCTATTACACATTCTTAACATAAATTCACAATATTACCACTACCATGGTGTATGCTACTTACATAATGGTCTCTGTTTCTTTCCAGAAGAATAACAATTTTTTTGTCAGACTAATTAGGGGTCTACTCTCTTATAAATTAAAAAAATAAAAGAATAAATGTATATATATACATAATTATTCAGTCAAACATTTATTTTTTTCACATCTAATGTTTTTTTTTCTGTTATAGGAAACTAGGATTGATCTGTTAAACGAAGCGAGGTAGGTACTGTTTCTCACAGTTTAAATATATCTATGTGTGTGTTCGTGCACACATATGTGCACACATATAAACATATGTTAGAATAAAACATTATATTTTTTGTTAGACCGAGTTTAGACACAAACTAAGTTCAGCATAGAAGCTCCTAAGAAGTTTCCTTTAGCATATGCTGTTGTAGCTTGACCAGGATTAGATGGCAGTGCTAGGACGATCTCGTGCTTTACAAAGTTGAAACTAAAATTTTTTTTTCATGACTGTTGGTCTTACAAGCCTTCTCTATCTCTAGTTATCATTGGCAATTACATTTTTGTTGATACGATCTATCTATTTGATTTTTGGCCTTCCATATGATCTCTTGGCTACTATGGAGCGAGCCATTCTTTATTGTGTAGATGCTTCCTGATGGATTGCTGCAAGCTGCATGTCTCGCCCATCTTAACCTCCTCGCCTACATATCATGAGATATATATTGACTAGTTCCTTTAAGCTGTTCTTTGTTGGTCCTCCTCCATGCGTTAATAATCTGTTCTCCGATTGCTTTGGTTATCGTTTGGAGAATTTCCCTCTCAAATCTTTCGTTGCTTTTTACCAGGGTACTGGTTAGTGTCCAGATTTCGTAGCCATATATCAGAAATTGCTTTATCGTAAGAAGTTGCTAAATATTATCAATTATATATATACATACATTATAAGATTATTATATCATCTTTCAGTACATGTACATATATTTTTATGTAATGTTCGAGAGTTAATGGAAAAACAAACTTGTTAGCTTCAACCTATGGCCACCTAGGCACACTCTTAGGCTACCAACTAATCGCAGTTGAGCTATATTAGATCACCTGTACCTATTGGGAAAAGTATTGAAACTCCTAAAAGCATATTATTTTTTCGTTTCTTTTGGTTGAAATATAGGAGTTATAGTTTCATAAAAACCATGAATAATAATGCCTTTATTATTTATTTATTTATCTATCATATCAGTTTGTTGCAAAAAGTCATTAAGTGACTTTCCGTAATCTTAAATCTCTAAGCACTTTAATCAATTTTAGCTTTGAGGAATCAGAAAATTGAGCACTTGTTGTAACTATATTTGATATATAAAAGGGTTTGTGTCATTTTAGTGCACCCACTGTGTTTTTATCGATAAATAAGGTCAAAAAATCTTAAAAGTTCAGCTCTATCAAAAATTTACTTAATGATTTTTTGCAATAAACTGACAATATCGCCTATGTAATCAATTTTTTTCTAAGAATATTTCTTATTATACAACTGTTACTCATCTATCCGTAATCTCTTGGCTAAAGATTTGCTGCACTCCATTGCGGATTGGTCATTAATTTTCTAAAACTAGTCCTTTTGTCATTAAAGTTTACAAAGTTAGGCTCAAGGTTTTGTATTGTCGAATTAAATTGGACTATTCCAATCTACAATATTGAAGACTAATACATAACTTTGGTTAACATTTTTTCCAATTTCATGTAATATTTTCATTCTGTGTGGAGCCTAATTAATTTTTCTCTGGAGGATATGGATGAATATCCTATTGCTTATTGGGCTGCTGTGTCTTTGACAGATGATAAGGCCTTCCCGTGATACTTTGTTCAGCATATCTCATGAATTGGTCCAACTTTTTGTAAATTTTGTGCTGGTAGATAACACAATTTTTTTTCATTCTTTAACTTGCCAGTATCATGTCTTCTTAGTGTTGATTAATGCCATACTTGAGGAAATCGATGAAGAAAGTGCTACATGGATATTGTCTCAAATCAATTCACTCTTCCCACAGCTCTTCAATTTCGGAATATTTTCGTACTTGGCCAAATTTTGTTTTAAATAAAACCAAACATGAGTAATGTATATATCAGGAGACTGAGGACAAACTGATCAAATGATTATCAACCAATTAATTGATTTTTTTCGCCATATGCTTAGGACCGTTGAAGAGAAAAGTATGTCTTCTTTTCAGCGGCAATAGAGAGGACTGTAAAATCCTTAGATTTCCCTCAATGTTGATTTTCCTGTCTATTCGGAAAATTTTTCGCTTTTTGATATAGTCATGGAACCTGGCCAAATTAGTGTTAGTGGGAGTTAGTTTTATATATAGAATATGAAAAAATCAATAAGGAAATGCAATATAAGGAAACAAAAATAAATGAGTAAATAAAAATACATATTTACAAAAGAAAATTTATTGTGCAGAATATAACTTATACTAAAATAAAGTTTAGAATTTAAAATGTACATACAAAGTCAAAGAATATCATAAGGGGTTATAAGTGTGATGCTCTTCTAATGGCTCCAAATTAATCGTTGCTATTTATGAATAAATACACTTACACCCACATAAAAATACAAACACACATCTGACCTAAAGCTAAGGGATTGTACATGTATTAATGGAATCACAAACGCTTATAAGAAAATAAAATACTGTGTTGAATCGTTTAAAATTTGTTATTTCTTAAATACATTCCGTATTGGTAAGTATTCCCCGCAGGAAGTTAGACCATTATCCTCTTAATTGGAGAGGCCTACAGGTGTAATACTTGTAAGAACAATCTATACAAAAAAAAAAAAAAAATACACTTTAGGAATTAATCATCCATGGCAGGTTCTATATATGTATGCAGATATTTCTTTCATTATCAAATGCTTTAGACCATCAGTAATAAGTCAGCTGCACCACTTATAATTTCCATTAATATTTACAATGTAAATAATGTTCCCATGTAACACTTTTAGGTAGTCACTACCCAAAACTCTCAAATGACTTGCTGTCTATAACTTTCTTAGAGAGAGACCATAAATTTCAAATAATGTGATAGGCTGTTTTATCCTTTAGGCCACAGAGCCTGAAGGTGGAGCTTTCACTTACACCGTTATTAAAGAGGTGCTTATTTAGTTGACAGTGACCAGTGCACATCTATCTAATGGTTCTCCAGTCCATTAGAAGAAGTGATTTACTTCTATTGTGACAGGACCCTACTGCACTGTTCTTTACAGAATAAGATATAATCTGAGACAAATACAATAAAAAGAATTGGGCTCAGAGTTTCACCCTGTATTACTATTTTTTATTTTTTCAGACACCTCATTTCCAACTTTTATTTGAATTGTACCTGTTTCGTATAAAGATTTAAGCAATCTCGCAATTTTACTATTCATGCCAAATCAAACAGCTTTTTCCAAAAAAGCTTATGGTTAATGAAGTCGAACGCTTTTCTAAAATCCTTAAATGTTGTGTAAACATACTTTATCCCTTAACTTGGAGATTTATATTGATAATTGACATCAGTGTGAAAATGTATTGAACATAGCCTCTTCCTTTTTGAAATCCCGCTGGTTCTTCTGGAATTAGGTTTTCACTTTCAATTCAAACTTGAATCCTCTGAGCTAAAATGGCTGTAAATAACTTTATGTTCTTTATCAATGAGATCCAACGGTAATTGTCTTATATCTGTTTTGTCACCTTTTTTATGTATTTAAATTAAATTAGATTTTAACCAGGTAATATTATTGAAGGTTTAATAAATAATGCTCCTATTCGGAAGTTAAATTTTTGAAAGCCTCATATATGATGTCATGACCTGGAGATTAAAATGTATTAATATAAATCAGTAAAAAACACAAAGTAGTATGTGGTTGGATGTCCTGAATTGGCAAAACATTACAAGTTTTTTTTTACCTCATTTACCTATTTTGGAAACATATTGCTGTTTGGTTGGACCCAACATTGAATTTCTATCTCTTGGTGAGTTTTTTACTGATTAATATTATTTTTTTAGAGTTGATGAGGCATTGAAAAATGTTAAGTGGCTAGAAGGAAAGTTAGAAGAAAAAGAGTGTCTTCTGAACAAAATAACCGAAGAGCAGAATGCACTGCAGAATGAAAATCAACAGGTTTTATAAATATTTTTATCAATATACTATTTGCTTAAGATTTATATATGTATTAGATAAACAGATCAGAGTATTGTAAATTATTAGGAATAGTTGTTATCTATTTCCCAATATATCATAGCCATATGGAATGTTTAGATTGTTTGTTTGAAGGTTTGTAATATTTTTTTAAGTGAATGGTTCGACCAATTTTCTAGTTTAATGGCTCAAATTATTCTATGAGATTCCATGAGTGTTTTGAAACAGTTTGAGCTGAAATTGATGAAACATTTTAGTGAATTGTTGGCGAAGTTCATGTCAATAGATATTGAAACTTAGTGTAACAGTCAGGTGCTTTCAACTTTAAGTTACATCTGTGGGTGTAAACATACAGAAAGTCAATTGATGTATTGTCAGAAGATTCTTGAGTTTTGTTCAGATGAGGAAAGCATTCAATTATCACACAAAGTTTCCATATTCTTAGACATTAACTTCAATAACAATCCACTGATGTTTTAAAGTAGATATGCTGACATAATATTTATTTTTCTATAATGATTTAAAAATATTTTATTGCACGACCAAGGCGATACCATGCCTATGTGTTTGGGTTGTCTGCTAAAAGCTATGTAACACTTTTTTAGTGTACAGTTGGATTGATTTCTAAGTTTAGTATCTTAAATTATTCGATGAGGACTCATGAGTGTTTTGTAATAATTTGTAACAATTTAAAAATATTGACCTGTTATTAAATAGAATGTGTTTAATCAATTTGTAAAAAGCTTTGTAATGCTGTTTTGAATAAACAGCTGGATCAATTTTTAAGATTGATGGTTGAAATTATTCGGTGAGATCTGCTGAGATCTTCAAAGTATACCTTGAGATCTCATGATCTATTAAAATGTGTTTAATTAATTTTCTAAAAGATATATAACAATTTTTTGAGCGGGTGGCTGAATCAATTTTTATGTTTGATATCTTGAATTATTCAATGAGATTCTGAGTGTTTTGAAACAATTTGAGCTAAAAAAACTGCCCCGTGATTGAATAAAATTTTTTAAATCAATTTGCTGAAAGCTATGTAACAAGTTATTGAGTGAACGGGTTGATTGATTTTTAAGTTTGATATCTTAAATTATTTGATGATATCTCTTGAATATTTAGAAAGCTAAGCGACACCAGTGTTATGTGTTTTGGTTGTCCGCTAAAAGGTATGTAACTCTTTTTCGAGCAAATTGCTGGATAAATTTATAAGTCCGATGGTTCAAAATATACCTTGAGATCTCATGATCGAATAAAATGTGTTTAATTAATTTTCTAAAAGATATATAACAGTTTTTTGAGTAGGTGGCTGAATCAATTTTTATGTTTGATATCTTAAGTTATTTCATGAGATCCTGAGTGTTTTGAAAGAATTTGGGCACAAAATTAAGACAAATTACTGCATAAAGTGGATTCAATTAATCCGCTAAAAGGTATGTAACTATTTTTGGCGTGGATGGCATGACCTATTTTTAACGTTAATGGCTATAGCTGCTCTGTGAGATCCTGTGAATGTTTTGAAACAATTTAAGCATAAAATACTCAACAAAATTTTATTATCGTTTAAGTATCTCAATTATTAATTCATTTGAAATGATATCATGTGGCTATATGTTATAAAAATAAATTTTGAATATTTTACAAATTAAACTGGTTAAAAAAAGATTTGAATTAAAAAAAATCCTGACTACAGAAATTGGAAAATTCTATTCACCTGTTGAAAATGTACTTATGTACTTACTTAAACATCTTGGTAGATAGATAGAGAAATAGACATCTACGAATATTTAAACTTGGTGTAGTAGCCAAGTGGCTTAACACACTCTGAACGACACATTACACTGTTCGCTTCTAGTCCTCTATGTAATTGGAACAATCGAAAATGTTGCCCTAACGTTTAAGATTTGTTTGATAGCCTCGTGTCCATTTGCCATTTCATATTCAACTCCTAGCATTCCGGTAGGTACTGGTATTCCCAAATTCATTCCCATCATCTGAGGTAATACAGTGAGATATCCTATACCATAACATCCAAGACAGTATCTATTGTTATGTTAAGTGACAGATATGCCATGGCTAATTTGCTGAAGTTGTCCAGGACTGTAAGCCATAGCGATCATTCCCAAGTAAAGATATTGATCTGAACATCCAATAACAGTAAATTAGGTGTATGGGACATTTCTGGGTGTACAGTAATGCGATATTTTGCATGATGGCATACCATACATGCAAGAAGGAGCTGATAAATGTATGGTGGCAGTAATATCTGCGGTGCAATGCAGCAATGGTTTTGGGCACTTTTCGATGGTTAGTTTTCTCTTCATGATAAGCTTTAAGTGATTCTTTTTTTATTACTTGCAAATAAAATGATTTTGTTTTTTTTATAAATTACTTAGTTACAATTTAACTGTGATTATTTGGCAGCTGGTGGGCAAACTCATGAGGCGCAAAGTTAAAACTCATATTTTGTTTTCTCCTCAATTCTCTGATAATGAAAATATTTACAAATCGGTACACATATTGAAAGATGACATCGTAATGTTCTAATTCATGTGAGCATTTTGTTGAAATAAACAAAATTCCAGTTTAAACTTTGTTCTACATGAGTTCACTCTCGGGCTGCAACCTGATCACGGTAGAACTATAGTTTCACTTATCTTGAATTAATGTTTTTATTCTCGCTCTATTTTTTATATTATAATAATAATACATCTTTCCTTCTTTTTTTTTAGATGAAGCTTGAACTGTGTACACAAAGTAAAAGGTAATTTGCAATAATAATTCATTATTTGACTTTTTAAATTTATTTTCTCATTTCCATTATACAGGATGTTCTGCAAGTAGAGGAGAATATTTGAAGAGGTCAACTTATAGAAAAACTTTCTTGTTTAATAAGCTTTAAGTCCATATTAATTAAGTTGAGGTTCCTTAAGTTGTGTGGACAAATGAGTTGAGTTGATATCCTGTCACCTAAAAGTAGGCGTTTCTTTATTATAAATAAACGTTTTCAGCAAAAAGTGCTACAATAAATTATTGCAAAGCTTTATTTATTTTATTTTTATCACCTAGGGTATATTATAATAAAAATAAACTCATAAATAAACTTTTCATTTATTAAAAGAAATGTTAAAAATAATGGAATTTCAAATGTTTATCATTTAAAGTGATAATAGAAGTGAGTTTTTTTATTAAGATTTCTAACATAGAAATTGATCCTTATTTATAAGTAACCAACTAATTGTTTCCAATCCTAATATTTATGTTCAAAATAAAGAAATAAACACTTTTTATTTATAAAAAATACTGCTTTTTCAAAAATTGATAATAATGCTTTTATAAATATTGCTTATTCAGAAAAAAAAAAAAAGCTGTGTCCTACGGAGATAAGGTTTTCATTCTTAAATTTCCAATTTCTGCAATATTATCCAAACATATCTTTCTTTACTAACTGGTATGTAAGGTTATTAAGGTTTCTAAAAAATATATCTGTTAATTGATTGAACCATTTTCATAAAAAAGTAAATATTAGGATTAAGAACATTTTTTAGTCAATTTATACTAAAAGGATCAATTTCCATATTGTTCATAGTTCATTTTCACTTTATATGATAATTTAATACTTATTAAATAAGAAAGTTTTTCTACAAGTGGGTACCGTTAAGGCTTAAAAGTCCTCTTTAAATGATTTTAACAAAGGTGAACTCTACTTTCCTTCAAAGTAAATTTTATCTAGTTTATTGTGAAGCGCTTGCTAATTATCTAAATTGAAGTATTTTTTTAATCTTCGCTTACTATTCAACAACAAAATTAAATAAAACATCTTCTACATTTCTATGGAAAATCAATGGCTGGTCTTAAAATAAATTTTGAAATGACAAAATTAAGTTCGAAGTTAAATAGCTAAATAATACCACATGTCATAGGCTTGACAGGTTTGATGAAAGGAAGATTCTACAAGGAATCATGGAACCTGCGCCTAATAAATTTTTTGTCTTTCCTTTTAATCATGTCTGGATTAACTGGATGTATAGACAATCAGGCTCTGGATTAGCAGAATTCTACTATATGTCCTTATTATAATAGAGTTTGTAAGCTATGTTTGATTTTTCCAGAAACAGATCAACTTTTTCAGTCAATATATCAAAGATTACCAAGAAACAACAGGGAAGTTGAATTATGTTACCTCCACATTTCTGGCTCACATTGGCCAATGTATTCTGTATTGATCTAGTAGTATGGCCAATGCTATTAGCAAAAAAAGTCAAATATTGGCTGCAGGAAGGTTGGTCATACATTTGCCAAATGCTTATTAGTACATGTTGACATTGAGTATGGTGTTGTTACATTAAGCCACATTTCTATCATGAAAATGTTTACCCAATATTCATTAATTTTATTTCTTTTATCATTACTATTATTGATTATTTTGATTCCAGGGTTGATGAACTAAATAAGGAAATAGAATGCTTCAAAACTCTACTAGAAGAAAATGAACAAGAATCACAGAACAAAGAGTGTAAAATTAGATGTGAACTGGAAGAGGTAAGATCCTATTGTTATAATTAATTCCCTATTTTATTCTTTGCAGTTCAGTTTCAATAATATTTTTTTTAATTGATTCTTCTTATGAAAACCTTGGTCTTTAACAGTACATCCTTTGGTAATGAACCCATATAAACTACATGATTCTGGTTTATTTCTATTTTCTACAGATGACATTAAATTTTCAAAAATTTGTTCAATCAGAAAATAAAGTATTGTAAATGTTAGGTATTTCATAATAATGCAGAGTTGTGAAGCATCAGGCTATCTGATATATTTATTTTTGTCACGTATGGTTCCTTATAACATGGAACATTTTTGGAACTGGTAAAATTTCGCAGTTAACCTATGAGTCCTTTTTGTGATATCATACACTGAGTATAACTTTTTCATTTCCCATTTCATTGGAAAAAACATTTATGTAATACTGTAGACAGCTTATTCTTTTTGGATCTGTTCAAAACAATCTTGTTACAACTCAGTCTGTAATTACCAATCCTCAGCCACCATTTTTGGTATTGATTAGTGGATGGAATTGGGTAGGATGCTTTGAAGTGTTGAGTGGACTCTATAACTTCAACTTATTCATCATTCATCGTTGGTGTTATTTTTATTGTTGGTTCAATATTATTTGTGTAATTTAAATTGAAACTGCAGTATGTGAAAATTTGTTTTTAATCTTATTAATGGTAGAAAAGTTATTATTGGCTAACATTAAAATCAGCTGGACATTAAATTATATACTAAAAACACTATCTGGTCTTAATTTTTTATTTTTTTTTTTAGAAAGAATTTTATTTATGTAATCTGAACTGAATTTTATTTATGTAATCTGAACTGAATATTGCAAGTTTGTTTGATTCATAACTAACTTACCGATATTTTGTATATGATATTTTAATTGATCAATTAAAAAATTAATTAATTAAATTTTGAATTAGCCTTTGGGATTCCAAGATACTCAGGCATACCTACTGAGTTAAGTTGGTTTTATCCTGCTCTACAAAGATATGATAATGTTCCTTATGTTTTTTCTTGATGTTACAACCCTTTTAATTTTCTCTCATCCATCCACTCCTTCAATATTAAAACCTATTGTAGCTATATCTAACTATAAAAAACCATTGTTGGCTATTATATGAAACTATTTAATATTTTTTTACCTTGTGTATTCTCAATTTTCTAATAAAAATTAGTAATCTTTATTGCTTGTGTTTAAAGTGTATATTTTTAGCTATAAATTAACTATCCTTAATCAGTTTTAATCTCTTTATAGGACAGGCTGTTACAGAATAGAATTCTTTTTTTTTTTTTGTATTTCATTATTTATTTTGTTTCTAGGCAAATTATGCTTTAAACGTTGATCATCAAAGGTAATTCATTTGTTTCAAATGTTAATACATTTTCTAATTTGTTTCATTCAAAGTTTAACTCCTTATCATTACAGATTGAAAGAATATGAAGAACAAATTAATTTTCTTGATACTGCTCTATTATCTATGGTAAGGTTTATTGTGTGGCGTATATAACTTAACGCTTTTAGCAATTTTGTTGTAAATACATACTTCAGTTTTCAAATTTAGATTCTTTAAGTTCATTTAACACTTCAAATTAACTTTATATTATAAGTAGTTGGAATCCAGCCATCACTTGGTTAAGTAATATCTTTATTCATGGCTGAGAAGTTATTGAAAAATTTTGTAAAATATAATATACCAGAGGTGTCTGATAGAGCTGATATATTTTTATCCTCAGTTTTGATGAACAGAACAAAAAAAGTATTTATATCCTTTTATTGTTTGTGGTCAATTAATTATTTATTAGGATCTTTTTTCTTTTAACAAAGTTATAGACTGATCTAATAAAAGATTGAACATTAAAGAATACCTTTCTTCAAATGTTATGAAATTGATTTCATATTTTTTATTTACTTTAATCATAAATTTATTAAAACAATCTTTTATTTTTTAGCAAGATTCTTCTGGTGATGAATTAAAAAGGTAATTATTTAAATGTTCCTTTGCTGTTTTTATTTTTATTTCATTCATTATATCACTGTGACAATAAAAGGGGTACAACTCAAAACCTATTTTTTTTTTTTTGTTTGACAGAAGATTAAACACAAGCTAAGTTCTTCACAAAGTCTCCAGGGTGTTCCCTCTAACACATGTTAGATCACCTTTTGTGTCTATTGGTTTAGCCCGATATTAGAGGGCTGGCTGCTCTTTGTGACAATAGAGGTCCAACTATTAAAATTCCTGATGCCATAAAATTATGAGTTGCACCTCTTGTATTAAATGTTAGCATAATATTTGGTCAAATTTAAAAGTATGACTTGATTCAATTTTTTTTTTTTTTTTTTTTTTTTCCCTACCTCGCCTTTTAGGCTATATGGGATTTTTCTGGGCCAGAGGGTGAGGGCGGGGAATCTTCTCAAATCTCTTATCCGGTTGCCAGGCAACTCGCAGTGTAGTGCACACGCTTTAGCCCATTCGGCCACCCCGCCCCACTTAATTCCATTTACATATTAAGTTGGTTTATTGAGCTTGAGAGGACACAGCTGGGCAATAGAAACCTATTTATCACCCATACTCTTCTAATTGATCCCTACTTTCTCATAACTTGGAAAATACTCCCTGTCTTGAAATTCATTTGAAATAAGCATTTCAATAAAAATTCAATTATTAAAAAACAACAAAAAAAAAGGAAATATAATTTCAAGAAATTAAACTAAGAAAAATTTCAATTATCTTAATTATTTTAACCAATAATTAAATGAGCCTTTCAGTTAACAGAATGACTAACTCCAATTTCAACATTTTTTGATTTTTGTGATATTTCTAGTGGGATATTTATACCTTTATTCATATTTCTATATTTCAACACTAGAATCAGCTTACTCACTGTCTGTACAGATATTATAAATTTTTCAACACGAAATATCACTAAAATGACTATTCAAAAATATGAAAATTTGAGTTTGTCATTCTGTCATTAATTATAAATATCATAAACCATTATTAATTCAAATTGAATTAGATAATAATTTCAATTATATATTCTCCCTCTTTGTTTCCCTTCCCTCAAAAGTCCTTCAATTTGAATTCGTGATCCAAGTCTTCAACACAGTCTAAGAAGGTTTCTGCTCCAAAATTGGGCAGAGCTTCACTATTAGGCATTTTGTAGTCCGTATATTTCCCAAGCTAATTGTGCCAACTCTGCTGATACCATCTAGTAAAAGGTAGTGATGGCCGAGAATGTTGGAGCATTGCCCGTTGTAGCATTCTCGTGCCTAGCGACACGAATAAAGCCTTGATTTTTATTTCATGGTGAATCCACGGAATGGAACTCGACTTCCCACACTGGTTAGAATAGGTTTGATTGTACCTCTAGAACAACCCCCCCTCCCTTCCTGCATGCCAGAAATAATGGCTAGGGAGTAATACAATAAAAATAAATAAAAAATATACCATCTAGTCCTGTATGAAACTCTTCTATCCGTGTCATCCTCCAGTAGGCTTTAAATTATCATTCATCATAACCACCATTGTGCCAACTGAAATGCAATTTTCCTCATATTTTCACTTGTGGTACATCTGCAAACTTGATAGAAATATATTTTCGATTACCTTCTTTTCCAAAGTTGCTGTGAGAACTGTTTGAATGTCACAATGTCTTTTTAGCAAAATTTTGGTCAAGTCAGGCTCAGAAGGAAGTTTAAGTGGTTCACTAACCAGGAATTTAAAGATTACGATCATTTGTATTATCTGAAATAGGAGTTAAGGGTCTAGAACAACGGTGGGAAATGTCCAGTCTCCAAATGTTGTGTTCATTAATCTAGCATTGGAATTAATTAACATTTAATTATTTTGTTTATGAAAATTTGAAAATTAATAGAATTTAGATGAATATATGTATCTGGGTATGTATTTACTTATAAATAAAAATATCAGTAGTAAAATCTAAAACAATATTGTGGCCTCCATTATCATTGCCTAACCTTTCTGTGATCCCTAATGATAAAAGGTTTTCCACCAATGTTCTATAATCAAGCCAAGCTTTAATACCCATTTGCAGCATGTAAGCCTTTGCATAAGTTATAATAATTTTAAACATTGTTCTTTTAAGGTGGTATTTCAACAATTTTATGGAAGCTTCCCATAATCCCACAAAAGAGATGAACCACCAGTTTACCCCAGTATCAGTGTTTTTCTTTCCAATGTCACTATTATTTGCTAGTTGAAAATTCCTTTTAAGTCTTGAAATTTCTTCAGGGGATGCATCACTTTGATAATTTTAATTAATAATAATTTTACTTCTTCTGATTCCCATATTATGAGGTCTCCCTTTCTTCTTTCCTGATATTGAAAGTCTATCTGACTGTAGCACCCTCACTAAACCTCCACTGGTCATAATACCCGTGATGTGGTTGAGGAGGAAGCCTTGGGATCTGTTGGAGTCTCACCACAAGTAGGGAGACAAGACTATTAATAGTTCCTGTGGTTGATCATAAATACTGTCTAGTATTCCTGTGTTTAAGATGTTTATTTGACCTTTTAAAGCTTTTTTTTTTTCTATATCCTATTTTATTTTGTTTTTACCTTAAGTATTATATTACTATTAATGAATATGGTGTAAATGTGCTGTCTGATCTCTATTATTGTTGTCTTAGACAGAATGTAATATTTCTCAATAAACAAGGTTTAAATAAAAATATATATCTTGACAGTAATGTAGCGATTTAGGCTGTGAAGAATATTTCTGAAATTTAGCAGCCAAAAACTGTACATACTGAATTTCCTAAAATGGTGCCAAATGCATTTCATTTGTTGCAACTTTTAACCTGAAATGTTTTATTGGTGATCCCGAGTTTTTTTTTTGCTAGATAATACTTTGTAAATATCTATATTTGATGGTACATTTTTCCTTCTAATATCTAGTTTAATTCAGTACATATGTAAAAGCGTTGCCGGCTAATCTTCAGGGGCGCTCGCCACTTCTAAGAAATTTTAAAAAAATACAAAATGTATTAAAATAATTGATTTTACTCTGTCGATAAAGCAACTGCATTAAAGAAATGTAGAATGAAATAAATTCAAATATTTCATTGTAAAAAAAGAGCTTAAGAAATAAATTAATTTTTTTAGAGGGAGGAGGGGAGATGACGTCATTGCACGGGGGCACCGAATATCTAAGGCTGGCACTGTGTAAAAATTTTTTACAACACAAGTGGTTTCAAATAATAGCTTAGCTGGATTAAATGTTTTTACATACAAGGAAACAGGAGAAAAAAAGAGAAATAATATCTTCTTAAGAGCTTATTACTTGAAGAGAGGACATCTGGCTATTAAAAAATGGTATCAGTTTTTTGTTGCCAGAGGATAGTTTGCTGTTGGTTACAATATAGTCATTTATAGTTCTTAGAAAACTTAATACCTAGTCTAAATAGCTTAATTAAATTAATCTTTGTTATTGTAAACCATTCTAAAGTATGTTTTATTGTTTTAAGTTCTCTTAGGTCTGAAAATGGGAAAGTTCATTGCCTAATACTACCATAATTAATTTTTCTTGATTTCTTATGATTGAATTATGTTTTAAATAACATTAAATTTTATTATTTTGTTCTCAAATTCCAGTTTAGAATTATTCCGATGTCGAATACAATTTTTGCAAAAAGAGATAGAACATAAAAATTTTGATATTGAAAGGCATCAGAATCAAGAAGAATCATTAAAATGTGAACTATCGCAGGTATTTTCATTCTCATTTTAAAGCAATGCTATAATTATTTGCAGTTTTTAATGGTACTATATGTATATTTATATTTTTTTCAGTTGAGGCAGTATACAAAGTAAGTTCAAGAATCATCTCTCATGCTTGGACTAGGCTATGTTCTTTTAATTTTTAAAGAAAATATAGTTAAAAAGCAATAGGAATAACTTTATGAGAACAATTAGTGCTTAAACTCTTATTAGGGTCGATTTTATCATTATTAATACTTTTACTTCATTCCTACTTTCTGTGCTCTCCTGAAATCCTGTAACATTTATATCTCCCATTTAGATTGAGCTCTTTCTTCCTTGCTCACTCTAAATAATACACCAATTTAATTCAATTCTGTGAGTCCTACTATTTATATTGTTGTGGATTCATAGAATAATTGATTCATTGTTCTCTGAATTTAATCGAACCCACTTTTATTTTTTTGAATGTTTTAAACATTTCTAAAATTGAAACTCTTATTTTTCCCTTGTAAAATTTCCAATTCTAATAAAAGTTACAAACTTTTTATTACTGCATCAATCGATCAAAAGTCATCACACTAATTGTAAGTGGATCAGTGTTGTGATTTCTCTGAGAGAAACTTCATCAAATGTTTCACTAATTTAATTTTATTAGATCTTACTTAATGATTTTTTGGAACAAATCAACAATATATACCTAAGTATCTAAATTATTATGATATCTAAAGTTGTCGATTCATGTTTAAGTGTATTCCTCAAAGGTTAGTATAATAAAAATCAAAATTAACTTTTGATAATTATTTATTGGATATTTCGGACAATCTGTAAATTATCAAATAAATAATTATCAAAAGTCAATTTTGATTTTTATTATACTGACCTTTGAGGCATACACTTAAGTGTGATTAGACATTAAAATATAAAGGTCAACATTTAAAAAAAATATGGAATATCTAAAGTTATTAAACTTCACTAAATGTATTTAAGGCTATAAACATATGTTTGACTCATCCATGAAATATTTTTATATTCAATTTCTTTTTTAACACAAATTCAACAAACAAGATTTTAAACAATTACATTACCTAAATTCAAAGGATTATACATACTTTTTTATAGCTTAGAAATAATTTTAGAATTTTACATTTAATTGGGGTATTTCATTTAGTTTCCGTTGAATAATGTTAATTTCCAGAAATTATTATTTATAATTTTTAAATTACTCTTCATTATCTCCTATGTATTTGTATATTCTAAAATTCTCAGATTTTCAACGATATATTATAGGTATATAATACGATATGTATTCTGGCTATTATTTCTGGAAATTCATTTTCAACCTAAAAAAATATTTTTCTACTTTAGTCAAATATCAAATTCTTTCATACTTTATACTTAGCTTTTTTTTAATACTTCTAACAATGGGAGACAGTTAATTATTAAAAATAAACCAAATTAAAGGTACTTTTCACAATCACAATACTTTCTCTGTATTATATGTATAGGTAAGTGAAAGTAAAAAGATATGGAAATAATGTCATTGTTAGTAAACTCTATCTTATCTCTAATGATATCTTAATTTATTTTAAAGTGAAATGGAAAGACAATGGAAAGAAAAAGCTTCTTATTTGGGTTGTGAAATAGAAAAAAAAAATACCTTATTGCAAAAGTATGAAAAACAATTAAGCAACATGAAATTTCTTGCAGTTCATGATCAGGTAATATTTAAAGGTTATAATTATTTTTAAAATCATTTGTATCTCATTATCTAAACATTATTCATTACTAAAAATTAACCTAATTTAATTAACTATTACTTTACATTGTTTTCTTTAAATCATTATCATTAATAATTTTTCTTCTTAATACCATTGATTATTGAAGCTAAAATTGATCACGTTGTGTGATTGGTTGTGGTTAAATTGCAGTTGTAGGTATTTTCCTAAGCCAATGCAAAACACTCAGAGGGATGTATTTTCCTGGGTTTTAATCATTAATGATCATCATTCCTCAGCTGAACATATTTTGTACTAAATCATTAGTCTAAATTATTATTAGTTTGCCTTATTATTAGTCTTGATTTTGAGAATCCATTTTTTTGTCCCTGAAAAGAGTGCATCCTTTGCGATTTGGATTCTGTATTTGGCAGCTATAGTTGAGGGGGATTTACACCAAATTCCTATATTGTCTGCATAAGCTGATAATTTTAAATTTTGTGGCATTTCTTCTCTAATGTTATTTATATAGATCAAAATGAGGGTTGATGAGAGAGCACTGCCTTGTAGGACTATAGGACCCGGGTCACTGATTACTACTACTACTGGTGGTGATAACTAGTCAGGCAAGTGAGCTTTGTGGTTCTTTTTTCCTACCCCTGACAGCTCCCTTAGGTTGCTACCGCATACTTACCAAAGTGGGAATGTTAGGTGATAGGATGCCGAGCTGGCTATCGCCTCTGCGAAACACGTGTTGCCCGGCAACTTGATAAACCAAAGATATGATGATAAAATAAGTAGAATTAAGTAAACATCAAAAATTTTAAAAACCTTTCAACTTTGTAACCAGAATTGTATATTGCTGCTTAAACAATGATTCCTCAAAAGTCCAGAAAAGTCAAACCTGTCTGTATACCATTAAAAATATATTTTGTATTCAAATCTGTATACATAACACTCCCATAAACTGGCATAGTATATTGGTCAATGAACAAATGGCAATATAATATGGAAATGCAATGTATCACGAGAGGAAGAAATTAATTTTCATTCAAAATAGTGGACCAAAATGTTTACAAATTACAATATGGAAACATTTTTAACATTTATGGGTATAATCCGCCATAAATTGTATACTTTTTGAGTTATGCACAAACAGGGAGAAAAACCTAATCTTAACAAAATTACATAATACATCACTAAGGTTGGTGCAAAAGGTCGTTCATAAAAATTGATTTTTTTAAAGAAGAGCAGCAAGAAAAAATGATAATTTCTTTATCGATGACTCAGTTCAAAACTGAAACAGGGAGATAAAAGTTCCGTTTTCTTCTGATATCTATGTCCTGTAATTTTTTCTTCACATCACACTTGATTTGGTACAATCAAGGTCTATAAAAATACATAATTTAATTTTCATAACATAATAATATATAATACCTAATTTAATGTTTATTCATTTCAAAATGCCTTCGTCATTAGAGTAAAACTTGATGTTTCACTGTGGAATATTTAATGTAATTTTTTTGAGTTTGTCTAAAACATTTGAGCTTGTTTATCTCATAACCTTCACTTTTAAGTTGTTTCAGTTGTGAACTGAGGCATTGTTATGGTTTATTAATATAATTTCATATTTTATTTCTCCCTGCTATTTTCCAATTTTCAGAAGAATTATAACAGTTGCTGACTACAAAATTTCATCTTTAGTGCTAAGAGAATAAAGTTGTAAAATTATTACATGCGAGACCTTTTGCACTAACAGTAGTGATATGTAATATTGTTTACATAGAACCTAAAAAATAAAAGGCCTGTAGGCAAATAAAGTTTTCTTTTCTTGATAATATTTTTTTCCTATCTTTTCTGGAGTATGTGCTTATTTTTCAAACCTAAAGGAGAACATAACCTTCTACGTGAGGGTTCAATCATTGTATTGATGTATGAACAATTAATGAAGACATGGCACCTGGGATCCTTTTTGAAAAAAATATGTATGGCTTACCTTCAAAAGAGTACATTTTTGGACTTTTTAATGTAGAGCCCAGTAAAGGGTCTTGATGCCCCTGTCAATTCATCGATTTATCAACTTAGAAGTTTTGAAACGTACTAATTTTTCCAGTGACTATTATCAAAGTTGTTGAAGGAATTCAAGGATCGAAATTTGGCTTCATCAATTCTGCAGAGAGTATATTATGTAAAATATATATATAAAATGTATTATGTAAATATATATATATAAATGAATGCACCATTCTAGAAACATCTTGTAAGTAATATAGCTATCTAAAAAAAAGGATTGTTGAGACTAGATGTCTCTAGAAAGATGTGTTGATGTATATATTTTAAATTTTCAAGATCTTAGTATACATTTTTTTTTTCGAACTTATGAGATGATATGTTAAAAGATGAATATACTTATTATTTTTAATAATTCTAATTTATTTATCATTTGTCCTAAGAAACTTAGAGGGATTAACAAGAGAAAAAAAATGTGTGGAAGACATTCGTGAAGATTGCTTTAACTTTAATGTTCACTCGACTCAGTAACAATTCAATAAATGATAAAACATTACTAATATATTTTATTTTCTCTCAATTTATTTTCCTGAATATTGTGATTACAATTATTAATACCATAACAAAATTGATGGAAATCAATTTATTTCATTAATATTCCGGATTTATTTATTTTTAAAATATTAATATATCACGTAAGGTTGCCTTTATACCTTCCACCACCTGTAACATAATTTTACTCGAGCGACCAGGCTGATAAAAAAAAAGCTTGCATTGATTGGAAGAGTTTCCTTCTTTTACTTTTCTTGACATATATAGGAAGGTTTGAGAATAAAGTAAATTATTGCAATATTTGTTTGAATATACTGATTGAAATATCCAACAGACTTTATTCTTTGTATATAAGATGTCATGTTTAAAATTATTTTTAGTCAGCATCATGAAAATGTATTTTTTAAAAATCAAATGCCAAAAAATTACATTTATTAACATTTCTTTAGCTATAATCTCAGCTTCAGTCACTTAATGCAATGTTTAGGATGAAAAATATGCTTGTAGATCAGAGATAGATAGATATAATACAAAATAGATATTATCATCAAAATAATTACAATTTTCACAAATATATTACTAAACAATTACTCTAAATCAGAAAGAGATAGTATTGCTACATCATTGCAAAAGAAAATTTGACAATTTATAAAATTTGGAACTTTTTATTTATTTTAAAATTATTTATTTAAATTTTTACTTCCAAATATCTCTATTTTTTGCCACTGTTGCCCAACCGTCACTCACTCTCATGCATTAATTCATCTCCATCTTGTGAAAGGTCTTCCTCTTCTTCTCTTATTATTCCTTGGAATCCATTCTGTGGAAATTTTTTACCACCGCCCAATCTACTGGCTACATGACCAACCCATCTCCATCTCTATAAAACAGCTTCTTTTGCTAGGCTTTTAAACTCTTCCTGACTTTGAACTCATCTGTTGCTGTTCCTATCTTTCCTCTTAATTGCTAGCATGCTTCTTAAGGAGAATTGAAGTGTATTTACAATATTTACTTCATACAAAATTATAATTTTGTATAAATCACTCTGGTAAACTTTGCTCTGACTGATCATTTGTATCATACTCTAAAAATGAAACAATGGGTTTATGATAACTAAATTATATGATGGTATATTATCATTGTTTTAATATGATTTATCATATGGCGGCAATATTTATTATGATTTGGTTTTTGAAAGTATATTTTTCCCTATTTGCTTCTCTAACACATTCTCATGTCAACATGAGCATTTTTATGTGAAGCAATGTATTTAGTAATAATAATACTTTATTTATTCTGGGACAAGTCCCTTTAGAATAATACAGAAACATAGAACTGTGGGCAAAAGAGCCTTAGAGATACTTAAACAAAAATACAGAGTAATTAAACAGAAATAATAAAAAATAGAAAAAAAAATAATGAAGAACGATGTAATAATTTTTATACATATTTACAGTAGTATCTACAATTTAATGGGGACTGGCTGGATAAGAAATAATTGAACAGGTGGGATATAAAGACAGGAAGGGTATTGGATTGATGGATGTGGGAAGGAATGGAGTTTCATAGGGATGAGGATCAGATATTGAAGGATCTGTCGAAAGCAGCAGTTCGGTGGGCTCTTATGTATAAATCAAACGTTTCAGTTTTGCCTCGAGATCCCTAGAAACGCCCCTATCTACCATACAACAACAGTAAAAATGGGGGAAAATTAAGGAAGTGACTAGGAGCCTACGGGTTTCAAGGAGAAATAAGTGACGGGAGTAATTTAGACGTTTTAAGGTGGAAATGGTATGGCAGGAGATATTGGATTACTTGGTTTTTCCAGGAAAGTGTTTGATCAAAAGTAATTTCACGGTTTTTGATGGAGGGATAAAATCTGATGGGATTATCATGTAGGAACACAGTTGGAATATTAGGAACAGTTTTAAGGAGGTGATTGGAGCCTATTAAGATTGCCTTAGTCTTTTCTGCTTTCAACTTCAACTTGTTAGCTCTCGCCTAGTCACAAACCCTATCCAAGTCTTCTTGAGGTTTTCTATGGCTGGTAATAGATCGGGAAGGAAGGAAGGACAGGTATATTTGGAATCATCTGCATAGATATGGTATTGGGAGTGATGAATCAGGAAGGGTAGGTCATTAATATAAATAGCAAACAGAGTAAGTGATAGAGAGGAACCTTGGGACACCATAGGAGAGGGGGAGGGTCTTAGATAGAGGTTGACCTGGGATACCTACATACTAGGACCGATTTGAAAGGAAGGATTTGAACCAATGCAGGCACTGTTAGATAGAGGAATATTGTGCAATTTAGTGTAGAATATAATGCAATTATCTTTCCTCTTAAGTGCTAGCATAGCATGCTTCTTCAGGAGAATTGAAGTATATTTACAATATTTACTTCATGCAAAATTATAATTATAATTATAGGATTTTAATATAGGATGTTATGGTCAACTGTGTCAAACGCTTTGGAAAAATCTAGAAGGATTCTATTTTTTATTATTTCTGTTTAATTACTCTGTATTTTTGTTTAAGTATCTCTAAGGCTCTTTTGCCCACAGTTCTATGTTTCTGTATTATTCTAAAGGGACTTGTCCCAGAATAAATAAAGTATTATTATTACTAAATACATTGCTTCACATAAATTACTTCCTTACTGACCTGCTGTTTTCTCTTAACCTTTATCTGGTACCTTATTCTTCTACTGATCACACGCAATTTTCCGACACTTGGTTAGATCTCTATATATCTGCCTCTCCCATTATAATCCTTTCCTCTTCTCAACATCCCATTCCATTTCTTTCATCACATGACCTGATCCAAATTACATAAGACCTACTCGTGAAATCCTTCACTCCCAAAATAGTTTCATACCGCAATTTAAACCTTCTCTCCAATGGAAAATCATATATTCCTATAACTAAATTGATCCTACGGCATCCATCCAGAACTCAAACCTACAATCCATATTACACATCTATGCTCCTTTGAAAATAAAATCTTACAGTCCCACTGCTCCTTGGCTGACCAGTGAAATAAAGGAAATGATGAAAAGAAGAGATGCAGAAAGGCGAAAATACTATCCAATCCGTTTGCCTGTAGATCATGCGTCTTTGAAGGAGCTTCACAACGGAACTCAATCCGCAGTCCGACCTGCTAAAGCCACCAACTTCCATAATGCCCTGTCCAATGCTCCCGACTCCAAATCCAAATGGAAAATACTCCATAATCTATCCCTACCAGAATCCAATAATCTTAGTTCCTTCTCTCTGTCTCCAGATGATCTCAATAACCATTTCTTATTATCCTTCACTCACAATTCTTCTCCTACTTTCGATATTAAACATCACAATTTTAATCCTGAAGACTTCTTTTTATCCCATCTGTCCTACAATGAATTTCTTTCCACTATCCTAAAATCTCACACTAATGATTATATTCCTGATAATATTCCAGTAAAACTAATAAAATCCAGCCTTCCTGTTCTTTACCATATCTACAACTTTTCATTGCAAAACTCCATAACCCCATCCTCCTGGAAAACTGCCCTAGTCCGAACTTTGAATAAAATTTCCAACCCTATTTCACTGAACGACTTCCGTCCTATCCAACCTTTCAAAGCCTTTAGAACGCTTACATCCAAAATCAATTCTCCAACTTCCTAGAGAAACATTCCCTTATTAACCCATTCCAATCTGGCTTTCGACCTGGCTACTCAATGCAATCCGCTCTCCTTAAACTAACCTATGACCTCCAAAACTCCATTTAACACTTACTGTCCTGTCACTTACTGTTTAATATCGAAAGTAGGAGAAGAATTGTGAGTGAAGGATAATAAGAAATGGTTATTGAGATCATCTGGAGACAGAGAGAAGGAACTAAGATTATTGGATTCTGGTAGGGATAGATTATGGAGTATTTTCCATTTGGATTTGGAGTCGGGAGCATTGGACAGGGCATTATGGAAGTTGGTGGCTTTAGCAGGTCGGACTGCGGATTGAGTTCCGTTGTGAAGCTCCTTGAAAGACGCATAATCCACAGGCAAAAGGGTTCGACGGTATTTGCCCCTAGCTGCATCTCTTCTTTTCATCATTTCCTTTATTTCACTGGTCAGCCAAGGAGCAGTGGGACTGTAAGATTTTATTTTCAAAGGAGCATAGATGTGTAATATGGATTGTAGGTTTGAGTTCTGGATGGATGCCGTAGGATCAATTTAGTTATAGGAATATATGATTTTCCATTGGAGAGAAGGTTTAAATTGCGGTATGAAACTATTTTGGGAGTGAAGGATTTCACGAGTAGGTCTTATGTAATTTGGATCAGGTCATGTGATGAAAGAAATGGAATGGGATGTTGAGAAGAGGAAAGGATTATAATGGGAGAGGCAGATATATAGAGATCTAACCAAGTGTCGGAAAATTGCGTGTGATCAGTAGAAGAATAAGGTACCAGATAAAGGTTAAGAGAAAACAGCAGGTCAGTAAGGAAGTATTTTTCGGGAGATTGTGAAAGCATGTTTATGTTAAAATCACCTAATCATCATCATAAAATTTTAATCATTTGATCTGATTTTTAAAATTTATAAATTAACAATATTTATTGTTTGAAATATTTAATCAATTGACATGAGAAATATTTACTGCATTACATTCTAAAACATTTCTTGGGGGAGATGGATAGTGGAGGGAAAGCCCTTTAAATCTAAAAGACATGCATAGCAATTTTGTCAGATTTTATTTTTAATCTGCTTGCATTATAAACTCTGCATCCCATTAGTCTTTAAAACTTAAAAATTTGTCTACAGGACTCATCGCACATCTCATTTCTCTTTTAAAAAAAATTATACTAATTTATTTTAATTTCAATTTATCAGAAAACTGCCCTGAATAATGTGGATACTTATTGCTATGATAACAAGTACTTTTACTTTTTTAAATCTTTCAGTTCAATTATGACTTAGTACATTGTTTTTAATCTTCATAATTGGTAATCCAGTTTTCTGTGA